CACGGTAGTCCAACCGATCCATGGGAGTAGCAGGTCACTGGTCTTTGCGGTTCACAACTTTGTTGGCGGAACATGGCGGAAGAAAAATAAGGAGACACAGAGAAGCGGCGCAGCAACAACATGACAACGACAACAACTCTATCCGTCGAAGATGGCGGCTTGGTGGTGGGAGGCATAAAGGGGAGATGACGGCTGATCCTCTCCTTTAGGGTTAGGGTTCCTTAAGTCTATATACCCGATACCCTACTAAAGTCATTGCCATAATGGAAAAAATGGTCCATCTCCACCAATATCCTTTCAAAATAACTCCCATATTTACCCTTTAAACCCCTGCATTAAAAATCCATTACAACCTACGTACAATATTTACCTAACAGACCCTGCCCTAAAAAATCTTTTCATACTAAGTCCATAGTTTACCAAACAACCCCTTAGCCTCAAGAATTTCTTCAAATGAAGTCCTAAAAGTTATAATTTAGTCCCTACCTTCATAAATACTTACAAAGTCAATCCGAAACTTACACTTTTAACCCCTAACTTCTAAAACCATGACAATGAGCTCTTTGAGACCATCCATTGATATATAATTATTATTTTAGGGCTACTATTCGTTCATTAATTTATTTATTTATTTAAATAAACGGGGTGTTACAACTTGCAACTTCAGAAATAAACGGGGTGTTACACACACACACACACACAGAGAGGAGGGTTCAATTGAGAAAGAAAGGTTGAAAAATGGGGGAATGAATCTAGGCTACTCATTTCGAAATTTCCTCTTAGGCGCTCCACCGTACTGGACCATGGAAACATATCATATTCATATATGAATACATATATGGATATGTATATTCACATATGAATAAGTGTATTCAAATATGAATACATATATTCATATATACGAATAAGTAAAAATGAAGTGATTATTCATATATTAATATAATGGTAGTGGTTGGTGGCGGAGTTGGTGGTGGTGGAGGAGGTGGAGGTGGTGGTTGGTGGTAGAGGGGAGGTGGTGGATTCGTATATGAATACACTTACATTTGTATTCATATATGAATATTATTAATCCCCAGTCATGCCAGTATGACAGAGCATTTTGAGGCAAAAATAATGATTGGTTGAGAATGATTCCCATATTCTCAACCTTTTTTATTTTCTTAACTGAACTTACATCTGTCTTAAATAATGGGACCAAGTTAGAAACATGAGGTGCAATGACTCATGTTTGAATGTTTAGAGTAGTTTAAAATAATTTTTTGATTTCATACCCTTTTTTTAAATACATTTTTGAGAAAATATGTTTTGATAAAAAATATTTTCAGGAATAAGAATAATTTTGACGCGATATGGAAAAATTTGAGTAATGAGTGTAAGATTAAACATATGACATATTTAAAAAAAGAAGATTTAGGATTATGAGTTTATGATACACTACTAGAAAACAACCCTTTAATGACGCGTAAACAATGACACTCGCTGATAGAGGACGCGCACTTGTGCGTGCCCTAAAAAATAATGTCAGTTTTGCAAAATTTGAAGGATAGAGGGCATGCATTTGTGCGTGCCCTAAAAATAACGTCTAACAAAAAAATTAAAAACACGGAGGACACCTATCATAAAAAAGCGTGTCGTCTAAAACTGTCGCTTTATATTTTTCTTTACGAAGGCGCATTTTCTTAGGGTGGTGGGGGGAATAAAATACCAAAAAATTAAACAGCCCGTTGATGCATCTCCTTCTTCTTCTTCTAAAATCCTCTACCAAAAATCCCTAATAATCCTTTAAGCAGTTTGTCTTCCTTTCTCTCTCTCTCTCTCTCTCTCTCTCTCTCTCTCTCTCTTTCTTTCTCTCTCTCTCTCTCTCTCTCTCTCTCTCTCTCTCTCTCTCTCTCTCTCTTTCTCTGTGTGTGTGTGTGTGTGTGTGCAAGCCCTAAGTCGCCGCCACCACCAACTTCGAACCTCATAATCTTTAAGAGTTTGAAGTGCGTAACCTCTTCCTGCTAGCAACCTCGAGCCCACCTCACCTCACCTCATCGAGACTGCAAAGACTGCTCAAGTTTACAAGCATTTGTTTAAGAGCAAACCATTTATGGATCCTCATGCTTAGAAGATTACGATTAGTGCTCGTTACATTGTGTCTGTGTCATAATTACAAGGAGATTAGGGTTTTGCAACTTCTCCCTATCGCCATCTATGAACTAATGAAGCCATATATAGGTACGATTCAAGCGTCGTGTAAAGTACAGGTGGTCGTTCCTCCTCCACAATCAATGTATACACATAATATGAGGTAGAAAGGTCAGTTCGGGGGTTCCCCACTTCACCTCCCTTTTACAATAATCCATTTTGAATCGGAAACTTTTCATTGTTATTTTAGATTTGAGACTCACCTTTCATCATAAATATGAGGTAGAAAGGTCAGTTTTGGGGTTCCGAAACTATAAGGATGAAATTGGAGGTTGAAGATCAAAAATCGAAGATTGATTTGGGATTAGAAGTCGGAGGTTCATGGTCAGATTGGAGGCATTGAAAATTAGGAAACAAAAATGGAAGAGGCATCAGATTCGAATATTATTCTCTTCTTCTTCTTCATGTATGTGCCCTAGGTTTCTTTCTCTTACTTTATCATTTTCTTATTTTAATATGGGGCTCTCGGCATTCTCATAAATTTTGAGATAGCAGGAGATCTATGAGAGATCCAATCCGATATTTAGTAAACAACTAAAAGGGATAGAAATACAGTCATCAAGGGTTCAGAACTAGAGCATCATAGCTGAGCAGCCACTTAAACAACATCATTTTCCAAATACACTAAGCCATACCATAGCGTGCCTAAGATTGTGTGGGAGTATGGGTGAGATCATATATAAATATAATACAGGGATTGAGTGTTTATTTATGGCAGTCTAAAAGATGTTTTGTTTCTAGCTACATGAGTTTTTGATTTTTTTTGTGGGAAATGTAGAACTGCATAGTGTGTACCAGGTGTTTGTAAAAATGCAAAACCATAAAGGAATTGAAAAACTAAACATCTACATGATTTCTTTCTATAACAATAGTTTTTTTACAGGGCATAAGAGTTCAATGAAAATTTTGGATAAATATCAGTTTTTAGCTCTTTCTAATGTTGTTTCAACTAAAGGTAGATAATGGTGTTGTTCAGTTTTGTAGATAAGATAGAGAAGAGGATCCTTGATCTTGAATATCAGCATATAACTTGCTGCTGGCACATACATGCATATAAACTTGTAAGAGGACCCTAGGTAACACCAAAGATACAAACACTATAAAGATATGCAATTGAAGATTTCATGTTATCTTGTTATTGTGCTATCTGTTTATATTTCTACAATGGTCTTGAATTTTTTTTTATTTTTTTACTACCTTTTACCTGGCAGCAGCTTTGTTGGTCTTTTTTCTTAAATGTCATAAATGATTAACTTGTTAAATATGATTACAATTTACAAAAAGTATTAAAATTAAAAGAGGGAGAATAGCTTCTCTCTATTACTTAATAAAATATAATTCATATTTATTCTTAATATCTCTCTCTGTTACTTATAAATTTTCTTGGTTTACATGTGGTTGTAGAAACCCTACAAAGATTACATGTGGTTATAGTCCTCGTGGAGCTGGATGGCTTTTTCAACTAAAAATACATCTTAGGTAAAAGAAATTATATTTTTACCCTTTTCCCAAGTGTTTTAGATATTTTTTAGTAAGCAAACCATTATACCCTTTTGTCCATCTAAAAAAACTATTTTCTCTAGTTACCGATTTTAGTATCTATGTAAAATAAAGAAAAGCACAACACACTTTCATAAGTTTATTGATTTAGCCACTTGACTATGCATATTTGGCTGCCAAGTGGATGGAATTGAATTCCATATTTGTTGGATTTCACCCTTCCTAGGATGGGTGGAAAGAATTCAATTCCATTCTTCCGTTTTCATTGAAAACCAAAATTCCCTCATTAAAATTTATAAGTGGAAAAGGATAATTTGTTCTTTCTTTTTCATGGTGAATTCCATTCCCTTTAGGTAACCAAATTTCTTTTATTTAAAATGAAAAAGAAAAAAAACTTATAAGATAATAATTATTTTTAATTTTTAATGATGCATGTGTTGTAGCTATTAAAAAATCTCTATCGTACAAACTAGAAGAGGCGTGTAGTGCGATGCCACTTTTCAAAACAAGCAGTGGCATCCTTATTTAGGAGGCACCCCCCAGTATTCATTCCTCTACATTGGCCAAATGCTGGAGACAGGTTATTATATTGAATTCCTTGATTCCAGGTATTAATATATTGGCCAAATATTAATGCCATGAACAACTGATCGATTCCAAGGTGGGTGTTAACATTAGCATAGCGGGCAGTCTCCATGATATTTTTATTTTCCCTGAAAAAAAATGCAAATTGAGTTCATGTTCAAAGATAAATGGGCAGGTCAGTAGGGTGGGGTTTGGGTCAAAGTGGGTTGAACAATTTTTAGTAACTCATAAAATACAAATTAAGACTTTGACTTTGCCAAAAGCCATTTTCCTGCATTTCTTTATTTGTCTCATTTTTGGGAGTTCCATATGCCATTTATGCTATTTCAAAAATAATAATATATATTATCAAAAGGGACCTGATGTCATTTTTCAACCCTTAATGCATTTCAGATTTTTTTAGTATTTTAATTCTAGTTGTGTGTGACAACTATATTCACGTAACATAGCTAGAAGCAAAAGTCCTTATATTTATATATTAAATATAATAATATACTTTGAAAGGTCCCTGTTAACAATATAAAATTACATAAATGGTCGATGTCTAACAAAATTTAGAAAAGTGGTCTAGGTTTAACTTAAATTAAATATTAAACATGATTGAAAATTTACCATTTTAACCTTGTAAAACGAAACCCACATTTTATGTTCCAGATAACAAAATAAAATCCTACCTCAAAGTTCATAATAATCATTTTTAAACCCACATGATTAAACATTCTAAAACCATGGTAACCATTTCAAATTGTGTTTTATGAATGGGAGTTTTGAAGACAATTAAGCAGGTTCCTACTACTTTAGATGTTGTAATTACAGAAAGGCCCCTTAGATGTTGCTCAAATTTGGACAATTAGTGATGGACCTTGTAGCTCAAATTTACAAAAAGGCCCCTTAGATGTTGCTGTTTTGAAACACTATACAAATGATAAGCGCAAAGATGTAACAACACTTGACTGGAATGTGAGTCTTTTTAAATATTTTTTTTCAACTTTTTACTTTTTACTGTTGCATCTCATACTTATAAATGAAATTTGTAATGTAGGGTGATGGAACTCTACTTGCAACAGGTTCTTATGATGGGCAAACCAGAATATGGAGTAAAGATGGCATATTAAGCTACTTTTTTGCATTTTCAATATGGGTTTTTTAAAATAAAATTAAGTTAGGTTTATTTATTATTTTAGGAGAGCTGATGAGTACATTAACAAAACATAATGGGCCAATATTCTCTTTAAAATGGAACAAGAAAGGAGTCTATCTTTTAAGTGGCAGTGTAGACAAAACAACAATTGTATGGGACATTAAGACTGGAGAATGGAAACAACATCTTGAGTTTCACACTGGTATTGTTTCTTTCTATTTATTTTATAATTTTTGTTTTTTTTATATTTAATTTAAACTTAAAAAAAACTGCAGGCCTGCAGCTCCTACTGATGTAAATTTATGTCTGTAAAGTTGGAGATAATCGACCAGTAAAAACTTTTGTGGGCCATCAGGTTTAACAAAAAAAAATATCTATAAATTGTTGTTGAAAGATATTATGAATTATGAATTAATTATATGTGAATGTTACTTACAACCAAGGTGAAGTGAATGTTACTTACAACCAGGGTAAAGGTGGCAAAGACTTTTGACTTCAGCTTGATGGGCGCATCTTCTTGATCTTGTAAATATGTTCTCAACACACTGATGCAAGTATTTTATCTGATTCTTTCTTTTACAACAATAGGCTTTATAGATAACAGTTTAAGTAGAGTGTGTTTAAGTCCTTTTTTTTGCAGACATTTCAAAACAAACAACTTGCTCATGTTGTGAACGTGAGAACACTGGACAATCTTATCACAAAGCTTTTGCTTTGGCTTTTAGACAAAAGGGTTCCAAGGATGGATGATGGCAGTCAACTTCTGAATGCCTTAAATGTTTTAATGCTAAAGATAGTGGTGAGATATTTGGGTTGTAAAACTTGTATAATTACTACTTATATTTTCATTTGTAGTAATTTGTTGTGTAAATGCAGGATAATTCAGAGAGGACATCATCATTTATGGTGCTAATAAGTCTCCTAAAACCATTAGACACTTCTAGATGGCCAGCTCCACCATCCAATGAATCTTTTGCTACAAGAAATTCAAAGTTCTCTGAGTTGGTTGTCAAATGCTTGATCAAACTTACAAAGGTCTGTCGGTCATCTTTTTCTTACTTGCTTTCAATAGTTTACTGCTTTTCGGATTAAGTCCATAAGAAACAACACACCGCCTCAGCTTGCCATCTTTAGTTACTCTTCACATTGATGCATGCAGGTTCTTCAAAATATGACATATGAGGTGGACCTTGATCGTATCCTCCAAAGCATTCATGTGTATCTCCAAGACCTCGGGATGGAAGAAATCAGAGGAGGTTTGTATTTACTATATCTACTCTGTCTCTATGCTATGATATCTCAAAGGAAAATTGTTGAGCCTAAAAATATCAAGCATACATACTTTATTCCTTGTACACAATAATATACACAATAATGTAGTTTATCTTCTACGACTACCTACTATAATGATGCACTTACATTTTGTTATCCATAATCACAACCAACTTGTAACTAAACCCATAATAACAAGCAACCTGTAAGTACATTCTTTTACACACAATAGGAATGTAATTTTGTTTTTACTATGGTGTAAAAGATATAAGTACGTTGCCCTTATTAGTAGAGAGAGAGAGAGAGAGAGAGAGAGTACATGAGCATGTTGATATATTAATTACTAAAGTAGAATGATTTAATTGGGGTTTGTTGTTAATATTAATATTATAGAGCAGGAGCGGATGACAAGCCTTTGCGGATGGTGAAAACGGTTCTTCATGAGCTTGTAAAGCTTCGTGGGACAGCAATAAAAGGTCATCTTTCCATGGTCCCAATTGACATGGAACTCCAACCCATAATCCTTGCCTACATCAATCATAATCTTCAGGTATGCATCTATTCTATTATCTCTTTAATATTATGCATTATCAGCATCTTATTTATTATGTATTAATTGTAATTGTTATATGAACATTGTTAGACATTGGCTGCTACCCGAATGTTGACCCCTGTTGGTCAAACTCGTTGGGGTGATTCCATGGCCAATTATCTAATGCCTGCCATGCATTCTGCAGATGCCCAATTGAAGGTCAGTTCCATCCCCTAATAAGATTTTTTCGGTACAATACTATGTTTGGGAAAGTAGAAGTAGGAATAAAACTGACAGTAGAATTGTTTAAGATAAGTAAAATGAAAATACAATTGTGTAGGAAAGATTTAAATAAATTCATATTTGTATTCTTGTGTTGGCATGGCATGGTAGCAAGAACTTTCTGCGATATTCAAGAAAATTGGAGACAATCAAACATGCAGTATCGGTCTATACGAACTATACCGTATAACACAATTATACCCACAGGTTTGATTTGATCTGGTCATTTTATTTTTTGTTAAATCCAAATGTTTTGTTGGTTGTTAAGGTGGTTTAATGGTTGTTGACACATGATAGGTTGACATATCTATGCTCCTAGACCTTTATGTGCTACTGTTAATCATGCATCCCTTTCCTCTATAAACCAATTCTCTTTTTGATAATCATGAAAATGCAAATCCTGGGGCATATAGTCCTTTTTGAATTGGAGTCTTTATATGTTAAGGTAACATAACATATCTATTTATTGTTGGAGTCTTTATATATTAAATACATGCAATTAGAATATTGACACCTTTACATGTAATGTGTATTTAAATAGTAATTTGTATGATCTTGTAGGACCTAGATGCATTCACTGCAGCTATTGTTGTGAGTATTGCCTTCTCTTTCATTCCTGCTTTGTTAGTTGTTGCTATTATGAAGGTAGGTCACTCTCCGGTTGTATTTTTCACATAATTGACAAGGAGCTGTTGTATCTATTCAGACTAGGCTTAGAGCAATGGTTGCAAGAGATAAGTTCAGAAGAAGAAGAAACAAGGCTGCAACTATAGTTCAGGTACTATGGATGAATTATGTTTGTAAAGTATTTAAGCAAATGATTAGAAACAATGGTGAATTTGTACAGATTAGTTAGCAACTTGCAGGTTGATCTTGAATAAGCAAAGGGGCAATAGATTGTATTTTTTGTATATAATTCGTTTGTAAATTTTTGTTACAACTTCTATTGATTTGTTTTATCTTTCCATGGAACGATTATTTGTATGACATTAAATTTATGCAACGAATTCTATTTTTTGTATATGATATTTTATTTTCTATTATGAAACATTAAATACAAATTTAATTTGAAAATAAGCAAATCTAAAAATAATATTTTTTTAAACATTTAAACTTATGATACGCAAAAATGTGTGTCGTCTTCAATTATGACATGGCCTTTCTTGACAGGGACTTTCTTGATACGCATTGTGTGTCATTAATACGCGCATCGTAAGGTTATGACACGTGAATGCGTGCCGTCTTCCTTTATGACAGGGCCTTCCTTGATACACATTGCGTGTCGTAAACGCGCGTCGTAAATGAGCGTCGCAAAAGCGCGTCGTCTCTCTTTATGATAGGGCCTTCCTTGACGAGCATTTGTGCGTCGTCTAGGCCTTTTATGACGCGCAATGAGCATCGTAAAAGGCTGTTTTTCTAGTAGCGATAGGTTTAAGGGAGCTAATATGTATAAAGCAATCTTAGAATTCAATGGTGTACCTTTCCTTGAGGTTGATATCTTAGGATGAAATCTTGGAGTAATATCTTGGATGGATGATACTTCGTTTTGATATATTAGGATGTCATTGATGTTTTAAATCTTTGATTTTTATCTTAGATTCAAATATCTCTGACTAGTGAGCATGACCATGTTCTAGCCAATTATTAACATATAAATGCTGCAAATCTTGGGATAACCTCATTTGAGGATTGTTCCCTTGGGATTTTCTACATCCTTGGGATATCCCTTTGGCTTAATTTTAACATGTCAATGTTAAATGTGTGGGTATAAGTTCTTGGATGTATGACACATGTATCTCATTCCATTGAATTTTTCTTAAGTTCTAACAAATGGTTAGTAATATGGAGGTTATAGTTACTAAAGTGTAACTTAATTTCCACATCATTGGACTATGTGCATCCAAGAGAGATGTTTGAACCTAATCTTATATAAAGACGCCAATCTTTAAACCTTAGAAGGTATCTCGGATATCTTGGATCGTAGGGGGTGATCAGCCCGTAAAATCTTGGTCAAGATCTTTAGTATCCGCAAAACAAAGATCTTGGGTGAAGGGCGGGTGTTAGCTTGGCTGCACCCTTTTGATGATTAAGTTAATATATGGAATAATAATGTATAATTGACATTTAAAATTGGGAAGGAAAACGTACCTAAATATCTTAGACCAAGATCTTGGATTTAGACAAAATAGGTCTTAAGATGTATAACATTCCAGGATCTTGGTAGTATTTCACCATCTAGGATGGATAGTTAGTATGCCTCCTTTCCAGCCTCTAAATCTACATGTTAAGGACCTTCCTATTTTGGAGCAAGTTTCCCTGCACTATGTTTTACTATATTTTGAAACACCTTTCTACCAAGGAAGAAGTGTTTGGTGATGCTGATGCCAGGAAAGACAACATGAAAAAGCTTTTGGTGAATGAGTTTGTGATGAACGATTTAAGAGCTTTAAAGAAGATATAAGGGATGGAGATTTAGAGGGATATAAGATCAGGATGATTATACATATTTTAATACACTGAGAAAGTCTTGCGGTCGATTTATTGTGATTAGCCCAAACTTGTTGGTATTTCTTTGGCGGTTTGAGGCAATCGGGGGAAACCTCATTAGGAAGTGTTGGAGTGAATCTTGTGACACTTGAATGAAACACTTTATGTTTGCCTAGTGCAAGGTACTAATGCACAACATAAAAACTTGTTTGGATCGATAGACTCAGACCATGAAGGTGAACTAGAGATAAGAAGATCATTGGCGATTGGTCTGGTTCAGAGTCTTGCTTTGAAGGTGAAGAAATCTATCATGTTTTGTGATAAGTTTTGCATTCAAAATTTTGGTAACAAGGAGAATCTGGATAAAATGTTTACAAGGTCATTGTCAAAAGATAAATTCAAGCTTTTCCTGGACTTAGTTGATGTTCACATGAGTTAGGTCCCTTCGGGGATGGATGGTAGAAAAGGTGGGCAAGTTCTTGTTTAATGTGGAGTTCTGAAGAGACTAAGTCAATGTGGATATTTTTAAATGTGACTTGATCATTTGGAGCATTCGCGTAGAGCATTTGAGTTTAATGGATCTCTTGGAACTCAATAGATTACTTGGAGTTCATGGAGCATGTGATAAAGGAACTAATCTTCTGAGAAGGGAATAAATTGTTTGACAAAGGAACAGATCAAGTGACAAAGAAACTGATCTTCTAAAAGGGGGTATAGAGCACCTGGAAGTGGAGTGGAGCATTCTGGTGCATGGATGCACCATCTATGATCAAGATGGGCCATATTATGCTTGGATATGCCATTTTGTATTCATGTTGCACCATTAAGAAGGATGGTATGTCGGTAAGAAGCAAGGTGTGCCACCTTGGGAAGCAATTGTGCCATTTGGGAAGGAGGTGTGCCACCTAGAAGGGAGATGCACCATCTTTCGGGATGATGCACCATTCCTTGATCAAGATGTGACATCTACATGCATGATACTCCATCTTGATGTAAGGATGCACCATTTGGTACCTTGATGAGCCATGATATCCATGATGGGCTACTTAAGTTGTGATTTCCTATTTGATGCTCAAGATCGTTCAAGGATGATCAAAGGTTGATGATGCTCATGGATTATTGCTTGATGTGCTACCATGATGGTTGATGAGGGATGGTGATCTAGATGTGGCACTCTTGCATCATGATGAGCCACTATGGATCATGATGATCCATTATGAGTGTTGTTGATACCCATGAAATGTATATCAAGGGTGAATGATCCAGAAGCTATTACATGGTAGAATGTAATTGGTTGACACCTATCGTGGGCCTATAGATGAATGGGCTTGGCACATTAGGGTTTTAGGTCTGATCCCTTCACTATAAATATAGATGCCCGCTAAGTCATTTATAGAGTCTTGAATCCTTAGTGAGTAAGTCGAATCTTTATTGAGTTGTACATGTAACCTCTTTTTGAGAGCTTATAAATAAAGAGTAATCCCCTCATGCCCATAGACATAGGCCACTTTGACCAAACCACGTATACACTGTGAATTGTTAGTCTTTGGTTTTGCTTCTTTTCCGCATTACTTCCTAATAATGATCATCAGATCTTGTCAAGTGCCGTTAGATCTGTTCTAATTCTTGACAAGTGTTGTCTCGTTCCCTAAAAAAATCCTAAATTGTTCAAGTACACTATCATGTACAAGATTCTTTCGAATTATTTGTACATACAAAACATCAAATAATTTAATTGATTTAATTTGAAATAAACATTTCTAGTTTCACACGTTAGTGCACTTAACACATCTCCAATATTAGCACATATTCATCTTAATCGCTATTAATTTCTTGAACCATGTTTTAGCTTTGAAAAATATGGTTTTTAACCACTCAGTTGATCCACCAAGCAGAAACATCTTCTTATATATATATATATATATATATATATATATATATATATATATATATATATATATATATATATTAAGACTCATAACTAAATAAAACATAGTTTGGGAACAAAAGGATCTAGTTTAATTAAAACTTAACCTTATTTTTTTGAGCTTGGTGCTTAGACCCTTATTCACTTCCACTTGATATATATATATATATATATATATATATATATATATATATATATATATATATATATATATATATATTAAAAGAGAGAGTGGCTTAGGAACAGTAACTGGCTTAGACAGTTAAAGTTTATCGTCTCGACTTAAAATTGGTTGGTTGTCCTTTCCCTCCAATCATTGTTCTCCACCGCCTCTCAATGTTTAAATTAGTAATATCCCAACTATGTTACCATTGCGCCATGTGTTGCTACTATGGGTGTTCGTTTGGATGGATCGGTTTGATCCAATCTAATCAAGTAAATCCAAATTGATTTCGGTTTTTAAAACATGGATCCAAATAGTCCAAACTAAATTCAAATCTGATCGAATCCGATCTAATTGCAATTCAGTTGGATTGGTTTTTATAATTTGGTTTTAAAAAACAAGAACATTTTAAAAAGACATATAATTATTATATTACCAAATTTTATAGAATAAGTAAAAACAAAGCATTTAGTTATGCTTTAAAATTTCTAAACAACTGCTAAGAATGTATATTATAATTTAATATTTTGTAGATAAAAATTTTTGAAAGAAAATGCATATTAACGTTTTTTATTAGATAAAACTTCTTGAACCTATATGAAAAAATGAACAAAAAAATTAATAAATAATTATAAATATATTAAAAATAAATAAATAATAAAGTGGTATTCGATGTTTTGGGTTTATTGGGTTCTTATTTTATAAACCAAAACCAATCCGAAATCCAAAATAGTAATTTGGTTGTGGTGAAAACCAATCAAAAAATTCAAATATCCGAACCAAACAATCCAATTGGACAATTCGGTTTCATCCGAACGAACGATCTAGTCTACTTGATTCTTCTTCACAATCTGACTCACTGTTTCTATCTAAAAACCTATCGTCTCCATCATCTGTCACTGCTACCACATAAAATCTTCTATATATGGTTGTTTTTTGGTTTTTCTGATTCAATTTAAAAAAACCATCAAATTTCTCAGTTTCAAATTTCAGATGAGACCTAATTCGATTACACTCTAATTTTCATTCGATAATTTGATACTATGAGGGAAAGATTTTCTCCAATGGTTTTAGGTTCTGTTTGCATTTACTTGCGTACTTAGACATCTGAGGTAAGATTCCCAATAGACTCCACATTTCAATCTTTCCATATTCTACCACATCGCCGAAGCCACTATATTTAGTTGCTTTTTTTTTTTGGAAATTGTTCCTTGCACCCAACTACAGTGAAATTGGTTCATTTTCTTATTGGTTACTTTTAAACTCATGGATTATGCTTTTCAAATAGAGAGAGAGAAAATAAT